AGTATGGCTATATCAAATTTTTAATATGGATTTTGTTATGCATGCTAGGAACGTTAATATGAAATCGTTGGGTTCATAATCACTAATGCTTGTTTCCCTAAGAGCACATTTAATTCATAAAGAATGCTCAAAATCTATTGGATTTATAATCGCTGATACTTGCTCGCCGAAGGTCACATTCAATTTATAAATAATGATAAAAACCTGTGGATTTCCATGTGCCAATGCTTGTTTGCCTAAAAACACATTTTATAAACAAATATTGCTGAAAAATCGTTAGGCTTCTAATCACTAACGCTTTCTTGCCTACAAGCAAATTTTATTTATTAATAATGCTTAAAACCTGTTGAATTTTTAATCGTTGATGTTTGCTTGCTTAAGGTTTCATTTGATTGATTAGTAATAATGAAAAGAAAGTTGGTTTCTAGTCACCGATACGTGCTCGACTAAAAGTATATCTTATTAATAAATAATGCTAAAAAGTTCAGTTGCTGATCGCAGATGCTTGTTCTTTTGACAAACACCTCATAATCATGAGCTATGTTATAGTTTTCAAAATAAAAATACGTTATTTGTTCAATCTTTCAATCTTTGACTGATCATTAATTTATTGTATTTCATCGTCTTATTTTTCATTGAATATTTACAGTAACGATAGCCATATTATTATTCTTAATTGTTAATTTAATTTATAAAGAATAAATAAATGTGTAGTTTGTATGTATAACATAGTTGTTACTACTTAATAAAATGTAATTAAATTAATAGTATTATTTGTCAAAGTCTAATATTTATTGCTTCTGATAAATACACAATCTTTGTATTACATTTACACTCGGTACACTTATTGTCCATTCAAAAGTACACGTATTCACTCCTAAGTCCACTAGTCCACTCGTCCACACTCATTCTCATCTATGCCGTCTATGATTTAGCAAAAGTAATGAGTACATAAAGAGTACGTAGAGGACTAACAGAAAGATGAGTGGACTAAGTGGATTTTAAGTATGGACTGTTAGTGTACTGACAGTGGGTAGCCCCTCGTTTCCTTTCTTATTTCTCGAGATATTAACTGATAACCTTCTACACATAAGCCGAGTCTTTTATCTACTGTGCTATGATTGATCCTGATTGAAGGAAATTAATAACCCTTTTTTAAAGTGGGATTCGTTACTTATTTTTACTACAAATACTTTATCATTTACTTATAATTAATCATTTTGATTTGATTATGAATCATGTCATTCAATAAACTATCTGTTGAATTAATTTTTTTTTCTGATTAAATAATTTTTCCCAAAATTTAGTAAAAAAATTCTTTAGCAGCAGCTTATCTATGTATGAATAAATATTCATTTCATTTTAATTAATTAGTTTATTTAAAAATAGTTAAATAAATAATTGCTTATGCAATTTCTTCATTTTCCTTTCAAAATTTTTTCCGCCTTTTTTTCAATAATGGTCCATCAATGGCTTATTTAAATAAAGTTCTGTAAATACGTTTATTTATTTTCACTGCGTTTCATATCCTTTACAATTTTTTAATTCGTGACTAAGGCGGGTTTTTGACTTAAAGGTGCTTGGATGGTTGGTACCGTATCTCGGGTAGAGTGCCATGAGGGTCCCTAAGAAATCAACGTTTTTCGACGGTAAATTTTTCAATAAATATAGTTATTTCGATAATACTAAAGTACAAGGTTAAGAAATTGCCAGAAAAGTACCGTGAAATTATAATTATAAAAAAATTGAGAAATGTTGCGAGGCAAGCCAGATAAATATTTCGTACTTTTCTTCTGATTTCTTCTTAAGTTAAGTCGTTGACCCTATATTTTTAAAAATTCAATGGATACTTTGAAAAAAAAATACACAAGAACTATTTTTAATTTTTAATGTTAATCAAAGACTTTCGAATATATAGTCGATTTTGTGACCACTGTCAAAATCGCCCAAGCCACCTTAAAGACGTTCATCTCAGTTAGTAAGGAAAAGTTCAGAAGGGTAGGAGGAGCTTTAATATGTAGCAATTTTGGTCATTACTTTTCCCACATTCGCTATGAGAGTAAAGACAGCCAGCGCTCTACTCGACGATTTTTTGCAACGCTGGCTGGATGGTGGATGACTTCCGCGATGCCAAATCTAGAAAAAATATTTATTACAATTAATTTAAATTTTGTATATTTAAGCAAAAGTTATTAAAAGATGATGTAAGCATCTTCTTAGACGCACTAACACTACTTAACACATTTTTTGTAGTCAAGAAGATTGCCCACATTATCTTTTAATAATACTTTCTTAACCATAAAGAAATTATTTTAATTGTAATACATATTTTTTCTAGATTTGTAATCACAGAAATCGTCCGCTATCCAGCCAGAGTTGCAAAAATTGCCGAATAAAGCACTGGCTGTTTTCACTCTCACAGCGAATAGTTATACCTATGTACACACTGTTATGATTACTCAACCTCTTCTTTATTATTATATCAAAAAAACAACTTGTCAACCGATTCACACCTTTAATAGATTTATCCAAGAGTAGTATATCACAGACAATTTCCTTATTAAAGAAATTTTACGTCATGCTTCCATAAGGTTACATAATAAATTGAGATTTTTTTGATTTGAACATATAAAAATTTTTACAATTAAATAATCTATCACTTTTTGTGGGTATTTTTTATATTATAACTAAAATAGAAGTATAGAAACTCGAAGGGTGGTGAGTTTGAATTTCGTTCAAAATTATCAAGATTTGTTTCTCGGGCTTTTTCAATGAGATTGTTACATCCCAAGTTGATACAGACGAATCATATTATAAGTAAAAATGCATACCACGTCAAATTCATACAAGATGTAATGTATGTATACAGCAAGCTCATATGACAAAAGGAGTTCATACGTTACTTATATGCGCGTGTGTGTAATAGCTGCAAAGTGAATGTTTCGTAATGTGCTGAGATATTATACGGCCAGCCTTGTTGTGAGAATGCATGTATGTATTAAGATTGTATGTTACATGTATAAATGCAAAAATCGTATTGTATGTATAAATGAATAGCTCACTTGCGCATTAATTGGCCATTTCTAATAATGTATACCAATTTAAAACTGTAATTAAAACATCATTTCAATATATTCAAAATTGATTGTAAAATCTCCAAAAGGATGAATTGCGAAATTTGTAAACTTATTCGTCACACCTCCACTTGTATTTGGCGTTTCTTTTATTGCTGATGCAAGCATTTATCATCACTGATCGAAAAACCTCAATCGCACTTGTCAGAAAGATGCGATTGACACTGTTTTATTGTTATTTCCTAATACACGAAAGCATAACATAAAATATCATCGTGCAAGCCTACTGTGTTGCTGTCGACGCAATCTGCAAGAACATCTCTCATTGGTTAACCTAATTCAATTCAAGGCCTCTTTTACTCGCTCTGACGCTATAAAAACGCACCATCAAGTGGAAAAATTGCTCTTTTTACGTGTGTCACGTGTCCTTTAAAGTTTTAGTCTACTTTTGACTCCTGTGACTCGCGAATACCTTATACACGTAAGGCATAACGTGTTGGCTAAGGCAACTCGGATATATTTTGAAAACATTAATAGTATTGGACTATTTTAATGAGCGAGGTACAATGAAGGAGGACCGCTGAAAGTGATTCTGTCGATAGCAGAGAAAACAGAAACCGCAACATCTTACTGGCCACGAATTTATTCGTGTATTTTGAGGAACCATAAGAAATTACTGCACTAAGCATTAGGGAACTCTGAAGCAGCAGTAACAACAATCATTGATAGATATAAGTTATTTATCAGTAATATAATTAACACCAATACCTTGTTAAAGTGATCTGAGTGGATTGTATTTAAAATTGTGATAATAAAAANTTTTAAAACTTACAAATAAGAGCTTCTTCTATTACCTGATCCTTCGACGTTTAAGTGTTATAAATTAATTGTGTATAAAAAATTGACGGCAAAACCAAATTCATTTTCTTTCTATTTTCAGTTTGATACTATAAGTCTTCCAACAATAAAAAACCGTAATGAGATTGGTATGATCAAATTTTTATTAATAATTTTTTTACAAAATGTAGTATAGACAATTAAATTTCAGGAACGTGGCCTATCTCATGCACACGTTTCAAAAACTCTACATCCGGTTGAAAAAATTGACACACTAATTTCTGCTGAGATTTCTTCGAGTAATGTGAAATTTAAAAAATTAGTCATTAAACACATGTTTCATGGCTCTCACACAAAACACAGTCTTCGTATGGTTAATTTTTATCAGAAGTACACAAAAAATTTCCGAAAACCTTTTACAAACGTACTACTTTTTAAAATACATTTCAAACGAACTGTTACCCACAATGTAAAAAAAAAACAAGTAACATATCTGACATACATACTTACAAAACTTGGACAAAAGCAAAAATTTTAGTATATAATTTAATGGTTGTACCTTAGAATCAATTTCTATTATTAAAACTTAAATATTAAATGAATCTTAAATGATTTTTATCAATCAAAAGCATATCATATATTTATGACTTTATTCATAGAGTTAGTGATGGAGCATACGTTGAAATTCAAAAGTTAAAAGATCAAGACAAAGAAATAATGCTTGTAATTAACGGTTACGTTAATGCCATATATGTTGGTCCAATGGAAGCAGCTGGAAGATTGCAGGAATTTTCAATTTGTGATGAAAGTCATACAGTGAAATATAATCTAAAAAAATAGAATTTTTTTTAATTCATATTATTTTGCAATCAACGTAACTTCTAAGAGTTATAGGCGTTTAATTTATCCTTGTTTAGTTTGTCTGTTTCTAAAATTTTTATAACGTTAGTCTTGTACTCGACACATTATAACCACAGCTTAATTGTTGAATGAAAAATTATGTCGCAAAACTTTTTTAGATTACTATTAGATATCCAATAAGTTTTATACACATTAATCTACAAATTTTTTTACATTGATCTATTTTAGAATTTGAAAATGCTGAAACACTTTTAATTTCTGAAGTGCATATGCTTCTTGAACATCGTAAGGCACAGAATGAATCAGCTGAGGAAGAACAAGAATTTTCAGAAGTTTTTATGAAAAGTTTGACGTATACAAATCGTTTTAGGAAGTTTAAGAATAAGGAAACTATAGCCGCCGTTAGAAAGTGAGTTTTTTAAATATATTTTTACTGCAATAAAATACTACACATCTTTCATGATACTCGTTGTTCATTTTACATGAATAGAATGAGCTTTGCAATTATTCTATATTCAATATTATGTCTATGTCTGAGGTATTCACGCTTATATTTGTGTGAAACTGCTCATCGCGAAGGCGAGATGACATAAGTGAGACACCTATTTTAATACATGGGTGAGAGAGAAAGAAGAGTTATCGAAAAGTATGCGAGTAAGTTGTCGGAGTAATATAAGATTACTTTTAAATGAATCCTCGTCTAAATTTAAAAAAAAATTTTGTTTACAGTAAGTGGAATAGAAAAGTAGGCTCTGTTATTAACTGAAAAAATGTACAAAAATATCACTATGTGGAATATGCCTAATTCGATGAAGATACCAATAACATACATAGTAATAATGTCGTTAACACGGATAGAAGTAGTGAGAAAAACAATGCTTTGGCTTAGAAGCGGCGTTGGCTCAGTAGTAAGCGTGCTTATTACTGATACAACCCCGTGTATGGGTCGTGGGTTTGATTCCCGGTGATTGCAAATTTTTTTTAAAAACTGTTAGCTCCAGAACAAGTTCGTTAGCAACTCTGGCTGTTTCAGGAAGGGTTTTGCCGTGAAATTTTTTTTCAGAATAATTTCAGAATTTTTTCCTTGCCCCACAGGTCATCGGGCCTAGGTGAATGTGAAACAGTGTGAGGGCTATGGATAGGGATTAGTGGATCCGTTGCCAGACGCTAAGCAGAGATCGACGGTCTTACTGACAAGGAGTGATCTCTAAAAGATGGGGCTTCTATGTGGATACTAGTAAGCCTGGATCTGATACTTTAGTAGAGATTGCCGGCTTAACTGGTGAGAAGTGGACGTCCTAAAATACGGTGTCTTCTCCGGGAAAAGGCTACACACTGGCGATTGGACCCGATGCACTATTAGTGCAGAGAGTTCGAGCTTAACTGGTAAGGTGTCTCACCGGATATATTCCCACTGTACCCATGGTGTGGTTGAACATAGGTACGATATCAATTAGGGATTAGTAAATGAGTGCTTGATTTCTTAACTTTAAAAAAAAAAAAATAAATAAATAAAATAACTGTGTAAATTCAGAAAAAGATTTACAATTCGTCCAAACAACGTACAAAAGCTTAAATGCTACAAAATGAAATGTTTATATTNGTAAGCACGTATACACACGTACACACACTTTTTTTCCCTCTCTCTCTATCATCCGGCAGTCAGCTGCTTCTGCTCTGCGCTGATACACATGTTTACGCTGTGCTTTCCACTGTCCCCAGTTTCTGCTTGGCCAGCAGCTGTGCTCAGATGTGTGTGTATGTGCGTGCGCATGTATACTTAGTTGCTTGTAGACGAACATGACATAGTATATCTATATATTTTGGTTGAAAGCAGCGTAAACTCAGTGCTCCTCAATAGAGAGAGAAAGAAAGAACGGTATTAGTATATCTATATATTGGCGTGACAGAAAAAGCGTTACGCTTTGAAAATTTTCACTGCCCAAGTGGAGAGTCCAAACCTAGAATAAAATTTTTTCACATCAGAAGTTAGTTTTCTCTAGATTTTCAAAAAATATGACACCAAGTAATGTTCTAAATATTTCAGTTAGATTATTTTATTTAAAATTACCACGGATTTTAGATAATATTAAAAATTGTATTTTTAGTCAAAAGTTGGCATACGTTTATACAAATGAATTTCAAGAACGTGGTCCACCTCATGCATACATTTCAATAACTATACATCCTGTTAAAAAAATATTACACCTGAAAAAATTGATACTCCTATTTCAGCTAAAATTTCTTCAAGTAATCTGGAACTTACAAAATTAGTCATTAAACACATGTTTCATGGCTCTCACACAAAACACAGTCTTCGTATGGTTAATTTTTATCAGAAGTACACAAAAAATTTCCGAAAACCTTTTACAAACGTACTACTTTTTAAAATACATTTCAAACGAACTGTTACCCACAATGTAAAAAAAAAACAAGTAACATATCTGACATACATACTTACAAAACTTGGACAAAAGCAAAAATTTTAGTATATAATTTAATGGTTGTACCTTAGAATCAATTTCTATTATTAAAACTTAAATATTAAATGAATCTTAAATGATTTTTATCAATCAAAAGCATATCATATATTTATGACTTTATTCATAGAGTTAGTGATGGAGCATACGTTGAAATTCAAAAGTTAAAAGATCAAGACAAAGAAATAATGCTTGTAATTAACGGTTACGTTAATGCCATATATGTTGGTCCAATGGAAGCAGCTGGAAGATTGCAGGAATTTTCAATTTGTGATGAAAGTCATACAGTTGTGAATTTATCTGTTCACTTTAAACACAATCTAAAACTTGTCTTTGAAAGAAATAATATTGGAATTATTATAAAAAAATACGATACACAGTTAACAGTTTGGTTTGAACTAAATGAACATGATGACTTTGCAAAATGCATGAAGTATGTAAACATTACAAAATACAAAAGTTTTAATAATAAATCAAAAATTTGGGAAAAAATAAAAAGTGTAAGAAATACTTTAATAGATAGATTAAACATTTAATCTCTAAAAAAATAATGAAAAAAATTTTCTTTAACTTGTGTTAATGTAGTAACTGGTTTGACATCGTTCAAAGATATTAGAACATAAAAAAATAACGTGTTAAATTTTTAAAAATGTTACAATTGCAATGGCTGTTATGTTTCAATATTAATTAGGACAACTTTTTGCTTGGTTTTATTTTAATTTTATAAAGGTGGCCTTGTATGTTTCTTATTTTATTTTCTTTTTTTACCAGATTACCGCAACGGCTAATTAGCCTAGTCATCGGTGTCATCCACTCACCATCTATGTGTGAGGGTGTATTGCCGCACCCATTTCCAAACTCTTAATTGACATCGTACCTAATCATTACCTAGGCACAGTCTAAGTGTCTCTAGTGAAACGCCTTGCAAATTAAGCTGATAGTCTCTGCACCAACGTTGCATCGGGTCTACTCGCCAATGTGCAGCTTTTCCCGGAAATGACTCCGTGTTTCAGGACGTGCACCCCTCGCCGGTTAAGCCGGCGCTCTCTACCGGAGTATTGGATCCAAGCTAATTAGCATCCCTGGAGATGCCTTATGTTTTAGGGATCACTTCTCGACGGTAAAGCCGGCGATCTCTGCGTGGTGGCCTGGCATTGGATTTGCTAATTCCTACCTGTAGCCCTCACACTGCTTCGCATTTACCTAAATCTGAAGACCTGTGGGGCAAGGAAAAATCCTAGAATTACTCTCGAGAAATTCCACGGATAAACTAGCTCCAAAACAGATGGAATTGCATAGCACCGTTTTCCGGTGATAACAGTTTTTGAAAAAATCTGCACCCATTGGAAATTCATCCCACGACCCCTATAACAGCATTGTACCAGTAACAATCACGCTTACTATTGAGCCAACGCCGCTCTGTCACCTTGTATTAATATGTGATGGATGTGTATTTTGCATGTTACTCTTCCTTCTCCCCGCCTTTTTTGCCATACCGCTCCGTGCTAGTCCCCTCTACACCACACCGAAAAAAATAAGAAATAAAAAATTTACGAGTTGTAAGACCTTAATTTTCTGCCTAAAAACGGAAGCCCCTACCACTTTTTTACAAACTTGATTTCTTCTTATTATGCTACGATTCGTAACTTATTTTTAAAGAAAATATTTACTAACTATTTATTGATTACTGCGGTTTAATTTACGTAATGATCTAATTTTATTTTGTTAAACAATTTTGTTGAATTTTAATAAATTAGTATCTGTACCCATGGTGTGGTTGAACATAGGTACGATATCAATTAGGGATTAGTAAATGAGTGCTTGATTTCTTAACTTTAAATAACTAAAATAGAAGTATAGAAACTCGAAGGGTGGTGAGTTTGAATTTCGTTCAAAATTATCAAGATTTGTTTCTCGGGCTTTTTCAATGAGATTGTTACATCCCAAGTTGATACAGACGAATCATATTATAAGTAAAAATGCATACCACGTCAAATTCATACAAGATGTAATGTATGTATACAGCAAGCTCATATGACAAAAGGAGTTCATACGTTACTTATATGCGCGTGTGTGTAATAGCTGCAAAGTGAATGTTTCGTAATGTGCTGAGATATTATACGGCCAGCCTTGTTGTGAGAATGCATGTATGTATTAAGATTGTATGTTACATGTATAAATGCAAAAATCGTATTGTATGTATAAATGAATAGCTCACTTGCGCATTAATTGGCCATTTCTAATAATGTATACCAATTTAAAACTGTAATTAAAACATCATTTCAATATATTCAAAATTGATTGTAAAATCTCCAAAAGGATGAATTGCGAAATTTGTAAACTTATTCGTCACACCTCCACTTGTATTTGGCGTTTCTTTTATTGCTGATGCAAGCATTTATCATCACTGATCGAAAAACCTCAATCGCACTTGTCAGAAAGATGCGATTGACACTGTTTTATTGTTATTTCCTAATACACGAAAGCATAACATAAAATATCATCGTGCAAGCCTACTGTGTTGCTGTCGACGCAATCTGCAAGAACATCTCTCATTGGTTAACCTAATTCAATTCAAGGCCTCTTTTACTCGCTCTGACGCTATAAAAACGCACCATCAAGTGGAAAAATTGCTCTTTTTACGTGTGTCACGTGTCCTTTAAAGTTTTAGTCTACTTTTGACTCCTGTGACTCGCGAATACCTTATACACGTAAGGCATAACGTGTTGGCTAAGGCAACTCGGATATATTTTGAAAACATTAATAGTATTGGACTATTTTAATGAGCGAGGTACAATGAAGGAGGACCGCTGAAAGTGATTCTGTCGATAGCAGAGAAAACAGAAACCGCAACATCTTACTGGCCACGAATTTATTCGTGTATTTTGAGGAACCATAAGAAATTACTGCACTAAGCATTAGGGAACTC